GATATGAGGCCTGTCTTATAAAAGCAACAAACTCCCCACAAAGCCCTTCCTGAACATTAGGACCGCCCCCCCCCCCCCCAGTGGCCCAGCCACGAGTCTCAGACTTACGACTCTGAAAGTCGGATTTCGATTCCCGTGGTGGGCAGAACACGGATAAGCCCGTAATCTTTATTCCGGTTTGTATATTAATATCCGGTTTGTATCGAGGGTGGAAAGAACACAACATTTACAAACATTCGAAATTTATTTTTAATGAAAAGTTTTCATTAAGTGTTATTAAATTTCAAAACTGTAAATATATTCCAAAATACAATTATTTATTTATTTATTTATTTATTAAATATTTACAAAATGCAATTACAAAATATAGAAATTTTTAAATGTCACTAAGCAGTTTTTTTTTATTCAGCCTGATTTCTGTTCTAGACGAATCCTTGTAAATATATTCATAACATATCCAAACGTTGTTTCGTACGTCAAGGTAATATGAAACATGAACTCATAATAGAGGGAGTTGTTCAATATTTTTTTAAATAATAGTTGTAATCTGGTTTGGTTGATGTTAAACGTAAAGCTACATTAAGGTTATCTGTGCTCTGCCTACCACGGGTATCGAAACCCGAATTTTTAGCGTCGTTAGCCAGCAGACTTACCGTAGAGTCTCTGGGGACATCTATAATATAAATTAGCTTCTTACGTAGTTCTGCCCGATTACTATAAATTAGTTATTTATTTTTTCTACTCAGCTTTATTAGCAGTTTCGTACTTTTAAATATCTCATTCTAATAGAAATAAAAATGCTTTTCCTGTCTTGAGAAATGTGGTAGACTCTCTTTTATGAGGCATAACCAAAGATTTGATGTGGCCAGGATGTAATAAGATCATTTATATACAGTACTTAAATAACTTTATATAGTTTTTCTCTCGCTATTAACTACAAAAGAAAGACTACTACGTGTTATGCACTTTGACGCACATGAATATATTCAGAGGCAATAAAAACCATTTTAAATATCATGCATATATTTCTAGATTCTTCCGCTAGAACGAGTATGCATTTTCTTCTTTTTTTTCTCTCTTTCGCTGAGCCATTGCTGAGAGATTATTTCATCAAAATTGATGAACCGTAAAGTATCGAGGTAAAAATATTAATTAAGTTCTTCCCCTTGCTGTCATCCAGGTAACAGAATTTACTTCAGAAAGATGTGATGTGTAAGCAGTTTTTGTTATATTTTCTTTTAGCGTTCCTGCTTCTATTTGTAACTGTAAACGGCAGGTGAAATATATTAAACATATTATGGGTAGAAATATCATTTCTTAATTTTCTATGAAAAGTTTCCTCACAGGTTGAAACATTTCTTCACACGGAACAAAAGAAAAGACGACTGATAAGCTTATATACCCTTTCTTAACAGAAAATTTAAGGGAAGTTGGTTTCGAACATTTCTACGCTTTTGTAGGCAAGTTTATGAGCGCATGTGTAGCAGAGATACATTCGTTATAGGCCAGACGTGCCCCTAGTGAGTAGCGTACCCAGACTGTGAATCCGAGGATTGATGGTTTGTTAAAAAAAAAAAAGTGTTTCGCACTTTTGGCCAGTGGGAGCACTCTAAGGTGAGGTAAAATCGTATTATTCGACCAGGGAAGAGTAACCGAAGGGTGCTGTTTACTAGGTGCCTCCCCCTTTCCTACTATTTCACGATGCTCTATTAGACGAAGCTACAAAACCGGAGAGTATTTTCTAGGAATTTTAATTTGCTGAGCCTCCGGAGGGCAATAAAAAAGAAAATATATTTCAACGTCTCGCAGACGTACATAGAGAAAGTTGGAATTGCAGAAAAAAAGTAAGAAAAACAGTTACTTACAAGTGATGAGGCACGAAACATTTTTTATTAGGCATTTCACAAATGTATTTCTTAAGATAATCAAAACTTAACGAATACGTTGTCTTGATTGATTAGAAAAAAATCCTACTTTTTATTTTTCTAGTTTCGGTATAATTTATAGGGTATTTGGCGAAATTACTCTGCTCATGTAGAAATTAATAATGATTTAATGTATTGTATCTTAAATAACATGCAAAACGAAAAATCATGTATATTTACGCATTTTTGTTGTAGAAATATGTTGTTCTCTAAGTATATTTAATTTTACACACATCAATCCTGTTTATCGATTCATTGATTCATAAAGCACATGGCGTGAAACACACCGCTGCGAAGCTTAAACAAAATTATCATTAGGTTTAAAATATGTTTGTAAATATAATTAAAACATTTTTTCTTATACATTCATGAAGACTGTTAGTCATAAATGTTAAAAAATAACAAACACAAGGAAATGGACTTTTCTTGCTGTTTTTGCGTTGAACTGTTTCATTATTGAAATGTTTTAAAGACGGAAACTCTTAGCCCCATAACCCATCATTAGGTAGACTGCAATGCTTGTCAACACAGATAAGCTTTGGCAGCCATATTGCTTCTCTCCCTTTGTATTTGAGATTTTAAAAATGACGCATATTAGATAAAGCTCTGAATTAGAGAAAGCGAAACTTTCTAATCTTACTTTTCACATTAGTTACTTTTATCTTGAAAATAAAAGAAAATATTCAGTTTTTCAAATCCAAAAAGTGCTAAATAGAGAATTAGATTCAAAATCTATTTTAGCTGCTTTTCTGTGATCTACAAGATTCCACTCTCACTACGGATCATATCTGAGAGTAGCAGAAAAGTTATTGAAATAAAACCTTTGATTTAATATAACGCACATAATCATAAAATGAACTTACACAGGTATTAGTGTTTCAAACTAAGATTACAAATGTGTTTAGATGACTAATGAATGTATTAAAAACGAAATATCAATATGTAACACACTACTTCTTTAAGCAGTTTTACATTACTTGATAATACGAACTATTGAATACTCTTTCTGAGTTAATTACGTCTAAAGAACATACAATAAACGATGAATTATTAATGAAGGCTTATGATTGATAATATCTATATAAATATAATAGTACTGTCTGTTGTATGCCCATGTAACTACTTCGCCCTCTGTAAATGGATCTTAACCAAATTTGACATGGCGGTTCATTGGATATATCGAGAGATAGATACAAATTTAGTGTGAAGATTTGTTGTGTCCAGGCGGGTATACATGCAAATTTAGTGTGAAGATTTGTTGTGTCCAGGCGGGTATACATGCAAATTTAGTGTGAAGATTTGTTGTGTCCAGGCGGGTATACATGCAAATTTAGTGTGAAGATTTGTTGTGTTCAGGCGGGTATACATGCAAATTTGCAGTTGGACGATTTGCAGTTTTTATGGGCGTTTTTTACAATTGTATATAAGGGAAGCAACTTTTCATGTGCTAAGATAACCTTTCATTAATCACGAATTTACTTAACTTCCGTCCAGGGGACGACGGGTACTCCAGCTAGTTCTTGGATATAAAATGTATGAGGTTATGTAGCCTTTCAAGCCAATCTAGGATGCTGGAGATCTTCAGTTTAAGGTGTTATGAAATGCCGATGATGAAGAACAGTATCCAGAGGAGGTTTATACGTCTTTCAGTGTGAGGAAGATTAGGGAGAACGCTATCCAGAGGATTTTATGTTTCTTTAGTTGTGAGGTAGACGATGGAGAACGCCATATAGAGGAGTGTTATATTTTTTTTAGTTGAGTGTGAGGGAGAAGATGGAGAACAGTATCCAGAGGAGGTTTATACGTTTTTCAGTGTGGGGGAGAGGATGGAGAACGCTATCCAGAGGAGCTGTATATTTATTTAGTTGTGAGATGATGGAGAATCCTATCCACAAGAGCTTTATATTTCTTGACTCATTTTGTGCCAAAAAGTGGTGGTCGAGTGTGAGCGGCTTTAAGCCATTTATCTCAAGGTAAATATTTTATTTAAATTACTTAAATGGGACTTACTTAGAGGGTTTTTGTTTTTCTGACTCTAATGTTAAGGAGGATTTTTTTCTTTTCACTGAAGCAAAAATTACATATATAATATTGAAAGTTGGTCACTTCCACGTTGCAAACAGTGAGGCCAGAATTATAAGATGGCTAAATTAAAAATAAAGAAACATGGTTATCAGTCTTAGTATTTGAAAAATAACCTAATCAGAAAGGGAGCATTATTATTTTGCTCTAAAGTGCTATGGTTACACTGGTTGTTGAAGCTCTAATAATATGTTGGAGATTGTTAGAAGTATTTTTCTATAAATCACTTGTATATAGATAACACGTTACAATAATATTTTTCAATTGTATTCCGATAACTCCTACCTTACAATGACAATCATAAAGACAAAATACTTTTTCGAGTCTTTATTTCACTTACATTTATACAGAAGAAATCTCTAATGTATTGTTATTATAATATGTCCATTTACATTTATTTGACAATGATTCATAAAATTGCTTTCAATTTTACGTTACAAGTAAATAACAAATACTACGTAGGCTGAGTGAAATTTTGCGAATAATTGAAGAAGTGAGTCTTTTCTGATCATGATTCCTCAGTTAGACTAGGATATATATCTATTAAAAAAGAACAAATATATACATTAGTGAAATATATCTAACGAAATTAAAGAAAGGAAGTAGTGAAAAACGAATTATTAACTTGAGTTGGGAATACAAGAACACTATACTGATCTAAACAGATCAATTGATAACATAACACAACCTTCATTGTTTTTATCACTCAGTAGATGGCGCTCTTTGGTGATGAACAGACATAAACTCGGTTGAAATCCATTCTGAAACAACAGAAAAAGTCCTTTTAGTTGTTGCCAAATTCCTCTTTCAACAATATGTCATTATTCAAATAGTCCAGTACAGCATAAAGAGTTTGATATTTTATGCATTTTTAAGCTACTCGTATTTCCGTTCTACATGTTGATTAAACAATAGTACTGTGGTGAAAGGATCTGAATAGCTGTTGATTTGTAATATAATAAAATAAACTATCGTTATAATTTTGAACAAAATTTTTTTTGTGATTTATATTCTTATATTTGTAGGGAATGTTTCACACTTAAAGTAAGAAAAACATTTCTTCGAGATGGGATATTGAAAACATTTCTTCGTTGTGTCCTGTGCCCAGTTGCTTCTTTATTTTATCCTCATATGACATTTTTGTTGTTTTTTTTTGTCTGTTTTCGTTTCTTAATATACTCCAAATACTCAACACAAATTGTAGCACTAAGTACTTTTTTTTTTTTTGTAAAGCACAAAACTCAGCAACAAACGTGCTTAAACTCAGCTAATCAAACAATATTAGTGGAGTGCATGAAAAATCGTATGTATTGAAACACGACTATGGCCTTATGAAAAAGAATCGTCTGACAATTATTTCACCTGGTGGTGTTAACTTGTTAAAATGTACATTGCGTAATGTTTTACGTTAGAATAAGAATAACTAATAAAAACTTTAATGAAGAAAACTGTTTAAGTTTAGAAATTTATGATCAATTTTAAAACATAATTGAAATGTCGAATTTTATTTATATACATATATATATATATATTGGAAATGAGTGAATTCATTTTTGTTTTTTATTTTTCTTGTTCACACACTCAATGAAAATAGTAAATAGAGCAGTAATTCTGCCGCCAGAATGAATGTTTGTGTCTAACGTTAACGTTTATTTGTCTTTATCTTGCACTTCTCATTAAACCATATCTGGTAATAAAATAAAATTTTTGTTATTATTACACGTTAGAATAGCCTCGTGTGATACATAAAGAATAATATGCTAAATAGCACTTATGGAATTTCTTCATAAACCCAGAGCCTGAAATGACGTCTTCAAACCAGATACCAGACAATCAGCAGTCCACGGGAAATTATACAACATGCAACGACATTAAATACTACACATATACACGAAAAACTAAACCAACGTGCTAAGCGAAATGACGTAGGCATGGCATGGCTTGGTGGTTAGGACGTTCGACTCGAGACCTTCGAATCCTGTCCCTGAAAATGCTCGCCCTTTCAGCCACGTGGGCGTTATAATGTAACGATCAATTGTTAAAAATATGTACACATTCACTACAATCATAAAATATACGACGAATCGTAGATTTACAATGATGTCCTGAAACAGGTGAAGACATACAAAATAATAGCTCCCCCCTTATTGGCACACCCGAATGTCTGCGGACTTACAACACTAGACAACGGGTTTTGATACCCGTGGTGAGCAGAACACAGATAGCCCATTGTGTAGCTTTGTGTTTAATTACAAACCTTCCAGCCAACTACAAAATAAAAAATTCATTTTCAACACAGTTTTTCTGTTTACTTGTTGTTAAGCGCAAAGCTACAGAATAGGTTTTGTGCTGTGCCTGGCTAGGTGGTTAAGGTGCTCGATTGCAATCTGCAGTTTCGAATCTCCGTTTCATCAAACATGCTCGCCCTTTCAGCCGTGGGGTTGTTATAACGTGACGGTCAATCCCACTAATCGTTGGTAAAGGGTAGCCCGAGAATTGGCGGTGGGTGGTGTTGACGAGCTGCCTTTTCTCTTCAAAATTAGGGACATCTAGAATAGATAGAACTCCAGTAGGTTTGCGCTAAATTCAAACAAACGCAATGCTGTATATTTTAAATATTACATCATCCACTAGATAACCATTCTAAACTATATCTGTCATATAATTTTTGACGCCCGATTGTAATACAGTTCTTTATCTCTGTGACATAACAAATCTATACCATGAAAAAAAAACATGGGTAGATTCGTAATTCAAATATCAAGCTACCGCTTCGATTTAAATACACACGCAGGCGTTAAATAATTAACGGTTACATCCTGTGTGAGAACTGTATATACTAAATCAGTGAAACAAACTTTGCATGCTAAATTAAAGCATAAAACTGCGTCAGCGTTAATTTTGTATGACATTGATGCTTTCAATTATTATCGCTAAAACGTCATAAAATAAATGTAGTATTTAGCCTGTTCAAACAATTTTTAATATTCTATCTTGCAAGTGATAAGCTTAGCCTTTTTTAACAACGCCATGCGTCTCTAGAGCAATATAAGCGCACTTCAAGTTATGTTGGTAACGTATTCTATAATGAGAAGAGAAAATATAATTAAAATAAAGTTTTAATAAAAAGAAAAATGTTAAAGGCACAGAAAAATAGTGAAAGCATATTAAAACTTATAAGCTTAAATTAATTTGTTTTCAGCATAATTGGATATGTTTAATTCAGGTTAATTACATTTAGTTGAAAAGTGATATTTGTACGTCTTCAGTTAAGATTCTCTGTTTAATTACATCCTGAGGAGTGATATCTTGAAGTCACGAAACTGGTGGAAAATAAAAGAAGAGGAAAAAAAAACTGCCTTATAGACATACATAAATATCTGTAAGGAAACCAAAAATGTACATGGCTATATATCTTCTTGCCTGTATATATTTGCAGTTACAACAATTGTCATTTGTAGGTAAAGTATAAAGCAATGCAGAATTCTAACATGAACATACTTTAAAGCAATGAATGAACTAATATTTACTGGTTTGCTTTCTGTGAAGAACTGTATGAAATTTAAGCGGACGAGATGAAGAATTTATTTTTGCACGAGACTAATGCGAATAATTTATTGGTTATTTTTTCCTGCACTCTCTAATTTTTATCCAATGTAAAGGAAGATAATGTCATTATCTAACTTTGTCTTTTGGAGAATTCTGATTATACTCACTCAATCAACGATAAAGTTCTCATCACTCGTGCGTGTCTTAGAATATTCTCTAGTTGGCTTCTTCTCCTCCTTGTGCCACTGTTTACTTCAGTTGCAAGGAAATGATTTTTTTGTATTTTATTCTTACAATGACTCGAGAATCAAAATCGTTAAACGTAGTAAACGAAATGTTGGCTAAACAATAAACTTTAATTATTTTTAATTGTGAACTTGTGCTTAACGAAGTTTTAATTTATCAGCTATAGAATATAACACAAAGCTTTTCTATAATAATACTAGTATATGTTATTTTCTAAGAAAACCATTCTGAAAAGAAAGAGAAGATGGAGAGACATATGATAACACAAACAGATTCTTTAAATGGTACCTAAAAGATATAACAAAACGATCAAAGAACAAAGAAAAATCATTCACATCAAACTGATCAGATATATTGAGATCAAGTTAGCCACCATACATGCGCAGACATCCTGCGAACCCTAGACGTTCATAAAAATGGTGACAAAGACTAAGCAATGAATCGGGTAAAAAAACCAACAAGAAAAACGTAACCTAATCAATGCAACAGAAATATAGGTACTGTCAACTTAATATTATCTTAAAGGGAAGTCTTCATATACGTTTTGAAATCCTGGTGGCGAGATTAGTATCAATTTAAATATTCTACATACATTCTATTTTTTGCATCTCAGCATGAAATAGACAAAGGTGAGGAAGATTACTGGTGACTTTCAATTTGTGCTTGCTACCAATGGTACTGAATCAGGAGCTGTATCAGTTCTTCCATCGTGTCATCAGTTTATCAACCGACTGCCAGTCAAGGAGACAAGTATGTCTCAGTCCCAGAAAGTTGCACAAAAGAGAGAAACTGTACCATTTGTCGTCCAATGGATACTGGAAATCATACTGACGTCAGTTATCAACTTGAAGGTAATTTAGCATTGTACAACTTTATCAAGTCTTGTTGGACACCAAATCCCTAGAATTTCTTTCATAGCAGAGGATTTAAAAAACGGTAATATTTTTCAATCAAAGTGGCTTACTTCATTTAAAAAGTTATACTACAATGAAAATAGGGGTGGATTTTGCCTTACATGTGTCTTGTGGTTAATGGCAAAGCAAAAATAACTACTTGGAAAAGATTATGCCGAGCTTATGATAAGATGAATAAGCTAACTCTAAAACACTAACCTAACCAATATCTCAAGCAAGCTGTATCGAGAAATACAGCTTTCTTAAGAACATTTACTGACCTATCCTCTCGGATTAATGTGGTTGTTGATTCAATAACTTGACGGAATCTGGGAAAGAATAGAAACATACTTGCACCTAAAGCTGGCTCTGTCCTCCTTTGCGCTCTGCAAGGTCTTGCACTTTGGAGACATAGGGAGAACAAAATCAAATGCTATGAAGAAACAACAGAGAACGAAGGAAACTTTAATGCCACCAAACGATTTCTTCCGAAGTGCAATGCATCATTGGATAAACTTTATTTTTCCCTTCCTCATATACAAGTAACACAATATGAAATGAAGTACTTCCAGAGGTAGAAGACACGTTGAACAATGGTATGGGAATTTGGTACCCTGAGAGATGAAGTGATATCACATGGAACGAAAATATTAGAACTGTGCTTGAAAATTGTTGATTTGAGTGTTCCAAATCCTAGAAAATATTATACACTATTAGATCTAATTGTGTTAGACAAATTAACAGGAGTAATTGTCAAAAAGAATACACTTGAAACTCTGAAGAGTTACAAGGTGACAGCTGGTAAGTCATTTGGTCAGTTATACGAAAAAACAGATAGTATGTTAAGAATTAGTTGTGGAGCACAATCTATTTTAAAGAAATAAGCTTCGGACGCAGTTTAGTAAAGATTTTCTCTTCCTTCTCTTAACTTTTCTATTATTGAATCCTCTAAAATATCCCGAATGTGCAATATGATGGATGTTTACACTAATGCCTTATAGTTTTACTGTAACAGTCTAAAGCGATCGAAGTTTCTTTGGATCACTATCAGTGTTGCACCTGAAGCAAAGGAGCTTAAAGTTGAATGTTTGTGGGAAAAATCATCGTGTTAAACATCATAACTGCTTTGAAACCATATATATAGTTTAGGAGTATTTAGTAAGATATTTTACCTTCGCAACTGAGGGTCATCAGACCATCAGATGACCCAGAAGTTTGTGCAGTTACCTTTGTTCTAGCAATGCTTCTGCTGAAACCTATGCGATCTTTAGTTTCACAGCTTCAGTATCGTAAGCTTGATATCTAATCATGGTTGAAGGAGTGTCGATCAAGTTCACAACTCATTTTGTATTCTAAAATTACAGTTGTTACCCTATAGTGTTTTTTCAACTGCAGTTAATTTGGCAAAGAAGATAAACCTGTTTTCATTTATACCACTAAGCCATAGAAAACAACAAACCTGTAGCATCACTTATTGCTATAAAAAAAACAAGATGTTCTTCATTTAGAATTAAAGAAAGATTCGGTGAGGAGAAAAGGACCCACATTGACGGAACTGATAAATAATGAGGAAACGGAGACAATGCCAAACCTGATGAAGAAGAGGTGGAATCATTGTCTGCCATTTGCCGTCACGTTAAAACTAGTTGTGGCAATGCAGAGAAGAATTAAATTTGAGTGTTTCTTCTGATTTAAACTTGAAAGATTATGACTTTTTTTTTCAAATATCAAGGAACTGATGGCATTTCTTGCCGTTCAATCGTGCAAACCCTCTGAACAAGATGATACATTTAATACAGTTCGAAGAATTCACACATGTCTAAGTAGTACTAGACTGTTGAATTTTACAGTGACACAGATGACCCCTTATAGGTGCCTTCTAAAGAAGGTGGTGTAAAGAGAATTGTACAGCTTCATCCAAAGCAACTTAGATGTATTCTGTGTTTGACTTAAGTAGCTAATACATATTGAATTTGTACAGTAATAAATAACATACTGAGTTAATCGTTTCGCCAAAGTTTTTTCAATACTTTAGTTATAAATTAGGCTTATGGGAAGCCATATTTTCAAGTCTAAGTTGTTACGTACGCCCAAACCCTGGGCGATGCGCAGAACATATGTTTAGCCTTCACAAAAGTTTCTTTATTACATCAATATTCGTCATTTATCTTGGTGGTTCCACCCTCTCTTAGAAAACCCTAGATCGGCCCCTGACTTCATCCCCTCTCATGTTCCGTAAATGTTTTCATTTAAAACAACTGTTGACCAAACAACAAAAAGAGAGAACAATTTGGTTCACCGAAGTATTATATTATACCTGAATAAAGAAAAGTTTTGCCATGACCAGTTTGACCTTTTCATTCGAACAAATTCCACAATAAAATATTTAAAATGTAAGAGAAACTAAAATATAAGGTAAACTTTATCAAAAATGTTAAGTGTTTGATATTTTCTATTTAGAATAATATCCAAAATGTACAGCATAATATCTTAAAGATTTCAAAAGGTTATAATAATCTAAGTCAAAGTAGTGTTCTAATTCTGAAATATTACATTACAACACGGCAACTTTTGGTAATACGGTGTTAACAGCATGTAAAGGACTTCTAAAGATTATAATAGTCTAAGTCAAAGTAGTGTTCTAATTCTGAATATTACATTACAACACGGCAACTCTTGGTAATACGGTGTTAACAGCATGTAAAGGACTTCTAAAGGTTATGATAGTCTAAGTAAAAGTGGTGTATTTCAGAGATATTACACTACGACAGGGCAGACTTTGATAATATGGTTTTAACAGCATGTAAATTAGTCAGAAAAGACATATTTGTAAATAGTGGATCAACGAGCTGAAGAAAAAAAACTTAGGATTTTCCTGTTTTCGCTTAAATGGCTTGCATCAGATTTTGGCAGATTTGTCTGATGTCATACAGTTGGACAGTTCTGTTTCATCAAAGGCATCATCATCTAACATCCGTAAGCTACTGTTGCTTATTGAACTGCTGACTTTACGGTTGCCATCAGAATCGCCTCTCCTCTGTACCGATAATGCCGGAGTATTCATAGCTGTTTCTTCAGTTCCCTTAGGGTCAGGATTTACCGCAGTGTCGTTGGTCAGTAGCAGGCGAATTTTGACATCTGACGTGTGGTGTGGGGACACAGATAATAATGTGTTGTCAGTGGTTTCAAAGGCTGTCGAACGGTAAGTGCTGTTTAAGCGAGACAGGTAGTTGAACTTACCGCTCCTTGCTTGACGGCAACCACAGCATCTTGTTATTGTGTCTTTGAAAGCTTGTCTGAACTTCAAAGACAGGATACTGTACAGGATAGGGTTGATGGTGGCGCTGAAGTAGTATGAAACACCGGAAATGTAGTTCAATACGTCATAAACCTTTCGGTCTGTTGATGTTGGCTTCTTGACGTATATAGCCATCAGACGCTGGGCGTGGAAGGGTGCCCAGCAGATGAAAAAAGCTACCACCACAGCAACTGTAAGGAGAAAAAGGTTTATATAATTTAGTAGTTTAAATGAAACAGGTAACGAAACAACCATTAAAGACATTACATCACCAAGAGTTGAGGTTTTTCTGGACTCATCTTCTTGAGCGTACGAGTTGATGTCATTTCGGTCACTGTGATGAAACTCTCTTCCCAGAGACAGAAATGTCACCTACTTTTCCACTTCAGATAGACGCATTGTAATTTAATCTGACTAAACCTCCCCCAAAACAATATCATCCTCCGTTCAAGACCTTAAAATATTATCATAAAAAGTATTCGGCCGGATTTGTAAGTACTTCTTTTCAAAAGGATTTACAAAACGGTACTGTACAAGTGCTCTAATATAATACGTCTACGAAGATAACCATATATATATATGATAAATACGGGAAATTACGCATTCCTACTTATATGCACTGTGTATACACACACACACACATATATATATATATATATATATTCAACATTCCTCTTTATCAAAATCCAGTTTTGGTTAAAACCAAACAGAGGTTATTGGAAACTTGATCACTCGCCAGCTACCAGACAGGTGACGTCATTTTTTAAGTACCACAACGAATCCCTCTTTCTTTCTTTTCGAAAACCACTTTAAAATACGACAAATCATTCATACTATAAGTACAAAATACATAACTGAAGTAACTACGCGTGAAGCCCATGTTCAATCATGGAAATATATTCAAGCACACTTATTCATTTCTCGAGCTGTATTCGCGCTAGTTAGAGAAATAATATACTTAAGTGATAAAAATGTTTTAATATAGTCACACTTTCATAGTGATCTTTAATTAAGGAAAGGAAAATCAGACTTTTAAAAACGTTTTATTATTTAGATTTGATTCGCAAGTAATCCAAGAAGTCTAGTTCTATAATACCTATGTTTCGACCAAAACTTTAGTAGAGGGCGCCACAGATTCAAATGTTTAACGGATCTAACGTTTTATAGCTTAATAATAGGTATTTTTCTACGACTCAATTTTACATCGTATATGGGTAAAGTATTCGCGGAAGTACTGCTGAAAATACTGGTCACCAGGTGTCTTAACCCTTCCAGTACTTCGGAGTTACATTTGTCCCAGTGTATGTTTGTACAGGATTGGTGGGACCCGGATATCTGTTTAAAATATTTTGATCTTGGTGCTGTATTCCTTTTGTTATAAATCTAGATCATTTATATGTACTTACATCGTTTCTATTTTAAGAATACGAAAATCGTACTGAAAGAGTTAATCTTTTAGGCCTTATGGTTAGGGCGATCGACTCGCCATCTGAGGGTCTCGGGTTCACATTTACTTCACCGAACATGCTTACCCTTTAAGCCGAGGGGGACATTATAATGTAACGGTTAATCTCATTATTCGTTGGTAAAAGAGTAGCCAAAGAGTTGACGGTGCCTTCCCTCTAGACTATCTCTGCTAAATTAGGGACGGCTAACGCAGATAGCCCACGCATAGAAAATTGGAAACAAACCATGCCAAACTAAAATATTTTCTGACGTAGTGGAAAGGGCGTGGGTAGCCTTTTGTATGGCTTTGCAATAAAACAAACAAATAATGTCTTTCATGATTGTGTTTGATTATAAAAATAGAATTTTATTTATGCACGTAAGAAAAAAAACATAAAAAAAACAAAACAAGAGACGAATACTTGGACAGAAAGGAGATCACAGGTAAAAAACCAACAAAGTTTAATAAACAGGGATGGCGTGTTTTATAAGTAAACTAGTATAAAAGCCTGTCAAAAATGACGGGAAACCATTGTTGAATGATTGACGAAAATTCTGGAATGTAACTAAAACGAATTTGTCTGTACCTTCAAAATGCACCTACTCTTCACTTATTTCATCAATCTGGAAGAAATTTTTATCACAACATTTTTAGTAAAAAATACACAGAAAAACTGAATGTTATTTTTAACAAAAGTACATGCTTACTCTGAAAGAAACTTAAATAACACTCTTGAGCCTTTTCACTGTATTTTAGGTCAGCAAGTAGAAAATATAGTGCGGTCGTTCCGATATAAATTTTCCTCTTTCGACTGTACAAAACTTAATTTAACTTATAGTTTAATTTGAGCATTAAGCCGAATGCATAAACGTAACGTAAGGCTTAGCTAAAACAGTACTTGATAAATTTTATTTTACTGTTATATCACCATAGTTATAAAAAAATATATAAAAAACAAACCTTTCTAATAAATCAACATGAATATTGAGCACTCAACATAAACACCATAGTTGACCTAAGAATAATCAGGTGATAGTTTTGTTGCTAAGCGACGATGTATGTTGGTGAGCATTACGAAAAAAGGAGAGTGAAAGCGTTCTCGACAGAATGACAAAGGGAATAATCTTTTCATAGTTAGTGATAAACGTTTATAGTTGGTCATTTGACATTCTAATTGGTCGATTTTCATGCCCACAAAGAGTGAATTTCTCCATGTTACACTAGTTAAGTCTGTTAAAATAAGAATATAAAGATAACTGTAGTCGCTGAAAAATAATACTAGCAGAGTATCTTATTTCTTACGGTATAATGTTCCAAGTAGGCATAATATGGTAGTACGTCAGCCACTGGCATAAAGAAATCCTTTCATCAGTCCCATAACTACTCACTTTTGTGTACTTGAAACGCAATTAAATCAGCATAAAAGGTGACGGGTCACATTTAAAATTAAACGTGTTTGCTTAAAACTATATATATATACTACAGTTAGGAGTCCCTTTTTAAGCTTGTCAGGTTAACAATAACAATATCTAGGAATATACGTACTTGCATCATAATACACTAAAATACACATTTGCTCTAAGTATCCGATGCCATCTTAATACACTAAAACACCTATCTGATTTAATTACTCGAAGCGTCTTACTACACTAAACTACCCAGCTGACCTAAGTACCCGAAGGCGTCGTACTATATCAGTATACTCACTTGATATAAGTATAGATAGCATCGTAGTATACCAGAATAAACACTTGATATAAGTACCGATCGTATCGTGGTACACCAAAATACCTGTTTGGTATAAGTACCTGACGGCTTCGTAAATACACTAAAATATACACTTAGTATAAATTCGATGACGAGGAACCCACTTTGAGACTAATAATTGCTGGAGACGGCTTGAATGGGTAATGAAGAAAAACTTTAATGCAACAGCAAATGTACAACGTTTCGACAAGGTTTGGTCATCATCAGGTACCT